CTCAGTTGGATTTTCTGGCACTCTTCCTGCATTGAGTCTCCGGATTACTGAACAGAGCTCCGTGGTGTAGCCCACTGAGGAATGGAATGGAGATGCCCATGGGAGGTCCTGATGTCATCACCGCACGCAGGTGTGAAAGGAGAGTCCTCTTCTGCACCGCCTGGCTACCTCACTCCTCTGCTGGTAGCAGTGCCTATAGCTGGACCTAGGTTCTCAGAAGCATAGATGTGCAAACAAGCGATTGAGTTGGGCTTCAGGAGAGACACATCATAGGAGAGAATCCAGGGTCTCTAAGCTGGTTTTCTTTTCAGGCAAACATCCTGAGGGGCCTGTAAGCAGGGGAATTCCTTTTTCTAGTTTGCCTGTAGAAGTGGGAAGACTGTTGATGTTTCTGTCCTTTACAGGACTTTAGAAAACAGTTGTATAATTACACAAGGTGGATCTTTATCTTGCCTAACATGCTGGGAATCTTCATCCCACCAGGGCAAATTTCCAAATAGCTCATTTTATTGTAGGTCTTTCAAACTTTCATGTGACATACTTCCCTTTCCCATTGTTGCTGATTTCCAAATCGCTGTCAGCAAGTTTTTCCTCTCCCCTTGCCTATTCTTCACTCATTTGGTGGCAAAGTTAATAGAACTAGGGGTCTTGGAAGATGCTTTGAAAATTGTTACAGAGGCACTGCTGAAATGATTCACAGGAAGGGTGGCCAGTTGGAAGAAGGATCCTGAGGATGTGACACTGGTTATCAACAACATGCTTAGAGAACTCTTGAAATGGATTGGGTGTCAACCCAGTGAACATAGTGTTTTGATTTAATTTATTTTTTGAAGCTTATGTGGTGATGGTGTGGCTTTCCGAAATGGGAAAATATTCAAAAGATCGTTTGCATTTTCTTCTGCCAGGAATCGGGGAGGGGAGCCGGGGGGCACAGTCTGAGAAAGGTCACCTGTGCTGTTCTAGGCATCGCTGGCAAGTTTGTGGGAAGGGATGGGCGAAGGTGAGTGGGTTTGTTCCGCACCGTCCTGTGCTGCTCAAGAGGACCTGGGACGTGCGAGGGAAACGTGGGTGACAGGGAGCCCAGACTGCGGCCCCTCACTGCTGTGCTGGGTTCCTGCAGCCTGCCACATTTCCCTTGGCAATGTCAATGAAGATGGAGGGGTCATTTCATGATTTCCTGCTGCTGAGAATAAATGTCTTGTTAAACACATGTGGCAGCGGTTACTCTTAGGTGCCATGGATCGATGTCAGGGTGGTCAGCTTCGGACTAAGCCACCCACCTCCAATTTGTACAACAGTATTGATACATAGGGCTACACTCATTACTGTTCAAGTGTTCTATGTTAAAAGTTGTGTTTAATTTCTAAAGATTAAAAAAAAGCAAAAAAATTGGTGCTAAACCTTCACCCCTGAGCACGCTCAGTGAGACTGGTCATGCAAGCATTTACAGTGCCATGCTCCTCAAGCCGATTTTTTCTTGTGGAAATGTTGCCCGATTTGTCTTCCCCAATGTATGGTATGTTTTTTTATTTTATTTTATTGAGGGGGGGGTAGGATACCTGCCATTAAAAAAAAATGAATAGAAAACTTTAAAACCCAAGAAATGGGGAAAAAAATCAGTGCACAAGAATTGGGCTGGTTAGGCCCAGTACCACACTGAATTGGGCTCAGTGGTTTTTGGAGTGAAGAAGCCTTACTCCCTGCACATTCCCTCATGCTCCCACACAAGTCCAGCAGTGGAAATGCTTGGGTTCCTCTTGCCTTGTCAAGGGGACTCAGCAGTCGACCAAGGGAAACCATTTGGCCCCAGGAGGAATGAGCGTTGTCAGTATCCGTCCTGAATGGGGCCTAGTCGGGAAGCAGTCTAGAAGTGTATGGTCATGGTCGCCTCATGAAAAGTGTGTGGCAGGTGGCTCTCAGGAAAAATACCAAGTCTGGATCATCCATGTGGCAGCTTTGCATAGTGAGAGGACAGCTCCGAACTGCAACTGAACTGCCTTCTGCACGCTTGACCAAAGCAGTGATGAGGGCGGCCAGTACCTGCGGTGTGAATGGTAGGTTTAAAGAAAAGGGAATGTTTTCTGCTGAGTGTTTCCTTTGTCTTTGGGCTGCTCAAGCTGGACAGTAGGTAACCACTGTTTTCAAGGAACCAGCCCAACTTCTCTGGCTTGGTTCGGAGTTTGTTTCATCCCTAGCTGTGAGTGCCTTTTGGTCTGGAAAGTTGGCTTGTCTCATAATACCCACAGCTAGGACATTCTCTCTGTAATTATGAATTGTCCTGTTTTACATTAAAAGAGAATGTCTTTGATCACTAGAGTTCGTCAGTGTTGGATTATTTCCACTGTGAGATTCTTAAAACTTTTTCGCTTCATAAAATAATTAAAAAACTCATGTTAGAGATCCTTTCAACATGAAAGGTTTGTAGTTGAAACATTACATATATTTTATTGTTTATAATAAAAAAATCATCTATACAAGAGAAGTCCTGGGTGTTAATATTTTGCACAAGATCTGTTTTCCATGATGTGTTGACATCTACAATTTCACTAACTGTTGATGTTATTTTCTATTGAGATTCTGGAGCCTAGGGAGCTATGTGTTCTTTTTGTTCATTGCGTTCTTTTTTCCCTGAAGCAAGAGACTATATGGCCTTCAGTGCAAAGACTTCAGACCAATTCTTTGTATTACACTTGGTTGCCTCTTGGCTATATAACTTCTGAGTGCAAATCATTGAACTCTTTAATGAAGTATTGTAGAGAATAAATCATAATGGATAAAAATTGTTTTGTCCTGCCTCTTTTTTAAACCTGTGGCTTGATTCATATGGAATGCTGTTAACAGTTGTCTTATTTTTGAAGATAGCCGACAAGATCGTATTCGGTCAGCTTGGATACTTTGTGTGGTGCTCATAGCCCCACCCTTGTGTATATTTTTGTGATTGGTAGCAATGCCACTGGTGGCATAGAGCCAAGTTTCGTGAGCAATCATTCATTAGCCGTTAAGATTTGGGTTTTTCCAGAAAGGTTCGTTGTTTTCATTAGATTTTCACATGAGTCTGACCTTGCCAAAAAAGCCAAAATCTCTTGAAGAGGGAAAAAAAACCCATTGTTATATGTATCATTTGTGTGTGTGTATATATATATATATATATATATATATAAAATAATTAATTAACGGTGATGTTAATTCAGTCAAAGCGCCTGGGTCATACTGTTGCAGTCTGACCTAACCAGTGAAGTTTGTTTTTGGATGGCCCAGGAAGATGAAATGTGTTTGGAGAAAAGGACACCTTCAGTTTACACTTTTTTTTCTTTTTTTAACTTGGTGAAAATAATTCTGTATTCCATTGGGCAGCACTCTGGGGTCTGCTTGTCCCTCCCTGGCGAGGAGGGAGGGACAATTTTTGTTCATTTTATTCATCCAAAGATCCCCAGTTGACACTATTTGCAGAGAGGTAGAATTTTCTTTCTTTTCTTCCTTTTTTTAAGGTACTCCATTCTGCGGCCCTTAGCACTTAGCAAAGCTCAAAAACATGGCTACATAAAAAAACGTGCTGTCAGGGTTAGGTGATTTTGGAAATTGACTACAAGCAGCTGATGAGATGTTTATAGGCTTTGTTAATAACTGGTGTGTGTGAGGAGGAATTCTTTGTTTCTTCAAGAGAAATTAATGTTCTAGAGATTACATTCCATAGTACTTGTAATAGTACCTGTAATTAAACAGCATGGAATTTCCTATGACTAATTTTGGTGGGCGGGGAGGATTGGTGATAAGACAAAATTTTTTATTTTAGCCGTCACTGTTGACTTCTGGAGTGTGAAATAAACCATCTGATCAGAGATCAGTGGTGCTAATTCTTGTGGGAGTGGGGGTGGGGGAGGTGCTCTACAGCTGCTTCTAGATCAATCTAGATCTGTAATTTTGGCTTGAATAATCTGACGGAAAAACTAAGTTTTCAGTAAGGTGAGGCATCACTGTGTTATCCAGGCTGGTCTTCGGAGCTCAAGCCATCCTCCAGGCTCAGCCTCCCAAAGTGCTGGAATTACAGGCCTGAGCCACCGTGCCCAATTCATTTTTTATTAAATCAACGGAGTTTACAATATGACCATCTAAACATTGCTGACTAATGAGCTAAGAGATTGTTGCCTAATAAGCTATGATTATTTCCTTTATTGTACAGCTTTTTGTTTTCTCCAGTGTTGAAAACAGCATTATGTTTCATTTGCTTTCTTTTTCTTTTTTTTTTTTTTCTTTTTTTTCGAGGCAGAGTTTCGCTCACTCACCCAAACTGGAGTGCAGTGGCGCGATTTCAGCTTACTGCAACCTCCACCTCCCGGGTTCAAGCGATTTTCTTGCTTCAGCATCCCAAGTAGCTGGGATCACAGGCGCCCACCATCACGCCCACCTAATTTTTGTATTTATAGTAGAGATGGGGTTTCACCCCGTTGTCCAGGTTGGTCTCAAACTCCTGACCTCAGGTGATCCGCCCGCCTCGCCCTCCCAAAGTGCTGAGATTACAGGCGTGCGCCACTGCGCTCAGCCGTCATTTGCTTAATTTTCTACGCATCACCCAAATGTTCCAACAGACGTGTGGTTAAAGCCTTCGAATGTCATTGTCCGCATGCTCAGAAGTATCAGATATCCCCCAGAAATCAATACAATTTTAAAAGTTTAAGTCAGTGAAGGAAATTGGACCGGGCACGTTCGGAGTCGCCAACCCTGCTCTCCATCAGCAGGCGTTGGTGCATCTTATCTGACCCTCTCTGCCCAGAAAGGCTTAGGGGCTGCCCCGGGACGTCCGCGCGGCGAGGCGCGTTGGAGAAGAAAGAGAGAGTGCGGCGGGCCCCGACCCCGCGCAGGGGACCCTCTCGGCGGCTAGGAGTTTCGCAGACCTCACCAACCGGTCCTCTAGCCGCGCCCGGCCAAGCCACCCCTCCGCGCCCCGCCCACCCCTCCGCGCCCCGCCTGAGACCACGCCCCCTTCCGCTGCCGTTCTCCATGCTTCCGCTTCCGGCGGCGAGGGTGGTGGCGGGCGGCGCGGTGATGGCGGCTGGCGGCAGCGATCCGCGGGCTGGCGACGTAGAGGAGGACGCCTCACAGCTCATCTTTCCTAAAGGTTGGTCTCGGGCTGGCAGACTCTCCCGCGCCACTTCGCGTGGTCCCCGCAGGCCTGGCCTTATCCGAGCTTCGCCCGAGGCCTGGCCTCAGCGGCGGCTTAGGCAAACCCCGGCGCGTTGTAGTGCTGGGGAGGGAACATGGAACATGGAACTGGGAGGTGCCGCCTGGCCAAGTGGGTTATTTTATGTGATAACAGACTGTGAAGTTCCGGGGGCTTGTGTTAAAGATAAATAAAGCCGGGCCGGGCGCGGTGGCTCAAGCCTGTAATCCCAGCACTTTGGGAGGCCGAGGCGGGTGGATCACGAGGTCGAGAGATCGAGACCAACCTGGTCAACATGGTGAAACCCCGTCTCTACTAAAAATACAAAAAATTAGCTGGGCATGGTGGTGCGTGCCTATAATCCCAGCTACTCAGGAGGCTGAGGCAGGAGAATTGCCTGAACCCAGGAGGCGGAGGTTGCGGTGAGCCGAGATCGCGCCATTGCACTCCAGCCTGGGTAACAAGAGCGAAACTCCGTCTCAAAAAAAAAAAAAAAAAAAAAAAAAGATAAATAAAGCCGGACACTCAGATGGTAAGGATAGATTTTAAACAGTAACTGTTGCACTATGAAGAAGTCCAGCGTGAAGCCAACTCAGCTTCGATTAGTAGAAAACCTCTGGTCGTTTAAAGGGAGAATTAGGGAGGGTTGTGGTGAGCGGAGGCTCCGGGGAGTCAGGGAAATGAGATATTTTTAAAAGCGGGAGGACGAGGGTTGGTCCGTGTGAACCCACTGTGGTTTGTTGACTGGCGCACCTATCGAAGTTAGGCCCCTACCTTCCCCCTGAGACGGAGAAACAGAAGGCTATCTTCAGCTGTTGGCTAGAACAAACAATTATTTTGGTAGCCTTCAGTTTTCTCAGGCACGCACTTTAAGCGGTTTGTGGTGACCAAGGGGAGGCTATTCTTAGGGATGAGGTCTTCAGCTCAAGAACTTTACAACATATTGTATTCAGCTATCTTACTCTTTATTGATTGAGATAGGGTCTCGCCCTATTGTAGAGGCTGTGATGTAGTGGCAAGATCAGAGCTCACTGCAGCCTCAACCTCTCGGGCTCAAGCGATCCTCTCACCTCAGCCTCCCAAGTAGCTAGGACCACACGTACATGCCCCCATACCTGGCTCATTAAATTTTTGTTTTTGTAAAGACAAGGTCTCACACTATGTTGCCCAGGCTGGTCTCAAATTCCTGAGCTCAAGTGAGCCACAGCACCTGACCGATTTCATTCTTTTATTTTTATTTTATTTTATTTTTTTGAGACAGAGTCTCACTTTGTTACCCAGGCTGGAATGCAATGGTGCGATCTCCGTTCACTGCAACCTCCGCCTCCTGAGTTCAAGCATTTCTCCTTCCTTAGCCTCTGCAGTAGCTGGGATTACAGATTCGCCCAGGCTCTGCTAATTTTTGTGTTTTTAGTAGAGATGGAATTTCACCATGTTGGCCAGGCTGGTCTTGAATTCCTGACCTCGTGATCCGCCCACCTTGGCCTCCCAAAGTGCTGGGATTACAGGTGTAAGCTACCGCGCGCACCCTCTTACTCTTTTAATGGGGGGCTAGATAGTACTTATTGATTGTACCTTAATGCTGTTTTTCTGTTGTTAGAGAGATATGTTACTTCCAGTGTTTGGAGGGTTTTGTTTTTTTTTTTTGTTTTTGTTTTTTTAGAGACAGGGTCTTAACTGTGTTTCCCAGGCTGGACTGCAGTGGGTATTCACAGGCTCAATAATAGCGCACTACAGCCTCAGACTCCTGGGCGTAAGCAGTTCTTCCACAGCCTCCCAATAGCTGGGACTCGTGGTGCCCAGCCTCCTTTCAGTTTTTTATTTATGGAATGAGGGTCATAGGTTTCCATAGGCAGATTTATGAAAGTTTTTGGCATGATAAAAATAATAGTTTCTTTTTTAAGGGATAACTAAAAAGATATTTTTCTTAATTTGATGATACACAGATTTTTTTTTTGTACTTGGGTTTTGTGTAGGTGCTTTTTGCTTAGTGAATTTTTATTACACTCTGCAAATAATTTTTGATGAAATCAGGTAGTGTCTGGTATGCATGAAAATTTTGCTGAATTGGAAACAGTTGACTGTAACAACTCAGGCTTGAACGGCACAGTCCACTTATACGCAGGGCTTTTTCCAACCAAATTTGGATCAGGATGTGAAACTGAAGATACAGAAGGCAGGTGGGCTTTTTGTATGTGAGTTCTGCAGGGCCAACTGTGGGACCTCAGTATGCTTAGAATTTTGGTATGTATAGAGGTCCTGAAAGCAATCCCCTGATTAGACTGAGGGACAACTGTAATTGGATCTTAGATCCTATCAAGTAACAGTGCCAGAGTTCTGTATATCTCTCTTTAGTGTCTGGTCTGATATAGACATATGAAATGTTTATTATGTAATGCAAAGACAGGGGACATTGGTGTTGGATAAGCCTAGGCAACACAGGAAGACCCAGTCTCTAAAAGAAAGTGAGTGGTGGCATGTGCCTGTATGCCCAGCTCCTCAGGAGGCTGAAGCAAGAGGATCACTTGATCCCAGGAGTTGGAGGCTGCAGTGAGCTCTGACCACACTAATGCATTCCAGCCTGAGTAACTGAGACCCCTGTCTCTAGAGAAAAAAAAGAAAAAATATATATATAGTTAGTTATGAGAGATGGAGTCTTGCTCTGTGGCCCAGGCTGGAGTGCAGTGGTGCAGTCTTGGCTCACGTCAACCTCTGCCTCCTGGGTTCAAGTTATTCTGCCTCAGCTTCCCAAGTTGCTGGGACTACAGGCATGCACAACCATGCCCGGCTAATTTTTGTATTTTTAGTAGAGACGGGGTTTCATTATATGTTGGCCAGCCTGGCCTTGAACTCCTGACCTCAGGTGGTCTGCCTGCCATGGTCTCCCAAAGTGCTGGGATTACAAGTGTAAGCCATCATGCCTAGCCCTCAAGTGATTATTGATTCTCTTGTCTCAGCCGCCCAAGTAGGTGGAATTACAGGCGCATACCACCACACCCGGCTGATTTTTGTATTTTCAGTGGAGCTGGGCTTTCACTGGTCAGGCTGGTTTTGAACTACTGACGTCAGGTGATCCCAGCTCGGCCTCCCAGAGTGCTGAGATTACAGGTGTGAGCCACCACACCTGGCAAAATAATAAATTTAAGATTAAAACAAAAATCCTGCCCTCTAAAATAAAAATATAAAAATGAAAAAACGTTATTATGTATTTTTTATATTTTATAGTTTAGGACTTTAGAACTTACTATTTTAATTTTTAATTAGTTTAATTAATTAATTTTTTTTTTATTTTTATTTATTTATTTTTTTTTTTTTTTTGGGATGGAGTTTCGCTCTTGTTACCCAGGCTGGAGTGCAATGGTGCGATCTCGGCTCACCGCAACCTCCGCCTCCTGGGATCAGGCAATTCTCCTGCCTCAGCCTCCTGAGTAGCTGGGATTACAGGCACACGCCACCATGCCCAGCTAATTTTTTGTATTTTTAGTAGAGACGGGGTTTCACCATGTTGACCAGGTTGGTTTCGATCTCTCGACCTCGTGATCCACCCGCCTCGGCCTCCCAAAGTGCTGGGATTACAGGCTTGAGCCACCGCGCCCGGCCAATTTAATTTATTTTAAAAATATTTATTTATTTGAGACAGTCTCTCACTCTGTCACCTGGGCTGGAGTGCAGTGGCACAATCTCGGCTTACTGCAACCTATGCCTCCTGGGTTCAGGAAATGCTGCCTCAATCTCCCCAGTAGCTAGGACTATAGGCACCCCCCCCACCACGCCCAGCTAAGTTTTGTATTTTTAGTAGGCTCAGGGTTTCACCATGTTGGCCAGGCTGGTCTTGAACTCCTGGGCTCAAGTGATCTGCCTGCCTGCCTTGGCCTCCCAAAGTGTTAGAAATGACAGGTGTGGAGCTGGGCGCGGTGGCTCACGCCTGTAATCCCAGCACTGTGGGAGGCTGAGGCAGGCAGATCATGAGGTCAGGAGTTTGAGACCAGCCTGACCAACATGGTAAACCCCATCTCTACTTAAAATACAAAATTGGCCGTGTATGGTGGCACATGCCTGTAATTCCAGCTACTCAGGAGGCTGAGGCAAGAGAATCACTTGAAATCCGGGAGGTAGAGGTTGTGGTCAGCCAAGATCCAGCCTGGGCAACAAGAGCAAAACTCCACCTCAAAAAAAAAAAAGAAAGAAAGAAATTACAGGTGTGAGCCACTGTACCTGGCCTATTAATGATCCTCTGTAAAATTTCCAGATGACATACTGGCCAAGGAATTGTTTTTCCTTTTTTAGGAACAGGGATTAATAAATTATGGCCATTGTTCTTAAAATATCTGCACAAGAGAGAATAACATGCAGATCTCCTGATCTATTTCCTTTTGTTTCCAAATAAATTCTGTGTGCTTTCCCTTGAAAATGTTCCTTGGGATTAGCCATGGGGAGAAATCGTGGATCCCTCCTCTCCACAGTTATACAAAAGTGTCTGAACTGCCTTCTCCACCCCGTTTTGTTGATGCTAAATCCTGAGAATGCCTCCTGAAAGCTCTGTGATAGGTCTCACACACCGCTTTCCTAGGCCCTCTGAGTCACAATTGGGCTGCCTTGACCTTTCTTGGCTGAAGGGAGTAACGATAGTGTATTAGCAGGACTTGGGTATTGCTCTTAATGAGAAATAGGGACAGTTGACTGGTTTCCTGGTGTCCTAAAAGTTACGTTCCATTTAACAAGTAATTTCGGTTTAGTGCGGAAAGGGAGACATCTCTTTTTTTTGAGACACAGTTTCACTCTTGTTGCCCAGGCTGAGTGGGACATGATCAGCCGACATGATCTCAGCTTACCGCAGCCTTCCTTGTTCAAGCGATTCTCCTGCCTCAGCCTCCCAAGTAGCTGGAATTACAGGTTTGTGCCACCACGCCTGGCTAATTTTTGTGTTTTTAGTAGAGATGGAATTTCACCATGTGTTAGGGTGGTCTTGAACACCCGACCTCAGGTGATCCACCCACCTCGGCCTCCCAAAGTGCTGAGATTACAGGCATGAGCCACTGTGCCCGGCCTGGGAGGCATCTCTTAACATTGATTTTTCTAGGACCTGTAAAAGCATCAAAGTTCAAACAAATGGATTTGTAACTCATTAGCTACTTCTTCCCCTTTTTTGTGGCCTGACGTCATTTGTTACTGTCACTTTAGAGTTTGAATGTCCTGCAGTCCTGATATAGAATGCCTTTTCCTCTACTCATTGTTGTGAGGCAGTTGTTTCTTCTGTACCTACATTGCCTCAGTGTTAAAGATTAAAAGATGTAACTTTCCTGGTATGCAAATAGGTATTAACTGTCTTATATTCCCTATTGTAAGCTAGAAAACTGAAAAAGAAGGTATTCTGAGATTTTTGTTTAAACTCTCCTGCACTTGGGTAGAAAATAGCTTTTGATTACCTTTTTTTTTTTTTTGAGATGGAGTTTTGCTCTTATTGCCCAGGCTGGAGTGCAATGGCTTGATCCTGGTTCACCCCACGACTTCCACCTCCCGGGTTCAAGCAGTCTTGCCTCAGCCTCCCAAGTGGGATTGCAAGCATGTGCCCCCATGCCCTGCTAACTTTGTATTTTTAGTAAAGACAGAGTTTCTGCATGTTGGTCAGGCTCGTCTGGACCTCAGGTGATCCCACCTTGGCTTCCCAAAGTGCTGGGATTACAGGCGAGAACCACTGCACCCAGCCTTACTTTTTAATTTATAGTTTAATTTTATTTCAATAGTGCTTCATCTGTACTGGTGGCCTATTATATTCAGTAGCAATGAGTACCTTTCAAATAAAAATACTGGGCTGGGCACAGTGGCTGATGCTTGTAATCCCAACACTTTGGGAGGTCAAGGTGGGCAGATCACTTGAGGTCTCCTGACCGGCCTGGCCAACCTGGTAAAACCTCTCTCTACTAAAAATATTTAAAAAATTAGTCTGGTGTGGTGGCGAATGCCTGTAATCCCAGCTACTCAGGAGGCTGAGGCAGAAGAGTCACTTGAACCTGAGAGGAGGAGGTTACAATGAGCTGAAAAAGTGCCATTGCACTCCAGTTTTGGGCAACAAGAGTGAAGCTCCCTCTCTAAATACATACATACATACGTACGTACATACATACGTTTCCTCCTGACCCACCACTTAAACTGTCTGTGTTGTGAAAGGAGAATGAAGCTCTTGTCAGTTACCTGGCTTGAGAAATGGGAAGACATTACTCTGAGGGAGGTGTTAGTGATTTCCCCGAAAGAAAACAGACCCATAGCACATGTGAATGTGAAATTGCAAGTCATTTTGGCTTTTCCTCTGTTGCTTCCTCTTCAGTGTGGGAGTATAAACATGAATTCATGTTTATGAATGGTTCCTACTCTAGGGGAACTCACTGTTAAGGGAAAGGCAGATAAAAACTATCTCTGATACTTTGAGATAAGCATTAGGAACATAAGATCCTACAGTAACATAAGGGAGAGAATGATTTTCCCAAGAGGTAACTGCATTTTTTTTAACAGAACTATTCTGGAAATGTAGAAGGTAGCCAGCCATATATTGTGAAAAGGAGCCATGGGTTTCTTTTTCTCAAACCAGATTCTTAAAAATTGCTTATAACATTTGTGTGGGTACAAAAATAGAATTTAGGGTACATTATTAATATTTATTTCCAGACACTTGGCCCTATTTAATACATAACAATTCTTAAAATTGAGAGTATAATACTAGCATTATTGAAATAGGAAGATGATGAGCTGATACAGGCTAGAGGGAAGTAATTGTCAGTATACCCTTGAAATAAGTAACTAGTCTGTGTCATTATTTAATAGCATGTCTAGGTCAGGTTTTTGGTTTCAGAAACTAGCTCAGATAAGCTAAAATGAACAAAATCCTGTCTTTCGCAGCAACGTGGATGGAGCTGGAGGCCATTAACTTAAGCAAATGAACACAGGAACAAAACACCAAATAGCTCACCTTCTTTTATAAGGAGGAGTTAAACTTTGAGTACATGTGGCCACAAAGAAGGGAACAACAGACACTGAGGCCTAGTTGAGGGAACGGGTGGTACGGATTGAAAAACTACCTATCAGTACTATGCTTATCACTTGGATGACAAAATAGTCTACACCAAACCCTCATAACACCCATTTCCCCTATATTACAAACCTGTACATGTACCCTGAACCTAAAATAAAAGTTTAAAAGCCGGGAGCAGTGGCTCACACCTGTAATCCCAGCACTTTGGGAGGCTGAGGCGGGTGGATCACAATGTCAGGAGTTCGAGACCAGCCTAAGTAACTTGATGAAACCCTGTCCTACTAAAAAAATTAGCTGAGCGTGGTGGCACATGCTTGTAATCCTAGCTACTCAGGAGGCTGAGAGAGGAGAATCGCTTGAACCTGGGAGGCAGAAGTTACAGTGAGCCAAGATCACGCGACTGCACTTGGGCGAAAAAGCAAGACTGTCTCAAAAAAAATAAAAGTTAAAAAAAAAATGTGGAGTAGGAATCCATTGGATTTCTGCAGGGGCAGAGAAATGTTCAAATGCATAATGAACATTTAGAAGCAAAGTTTTGAAGGAGTATTTTCAGCTGCCATTTATGCTTCTCACAAATAGAGTTTGAAACAGCTGAGACGCTTCTAAATTCAGAAGTTCATATGCTTCTGGAACATCGAAAGCAGCAGAATGAGAGCGCAGAGGATGAACAAGAACTCTCAGAAGTCTTCATGAAAACATTAAACTACACAGCCCGTTTTAGTCGTTTCAAAAACAGAGAGACCATTGCCAGTGTTCGTAGGTGAGTGCTTAAAGGAAATTTTTATTAATCCAGATCATTAGACAGCTGCATGTAGAATGCTATCCCCTTGCCCTTTCCCAGGCGTCACCTATGAATTTAAGTAAAATAATGTTGGGCTGGGCATGGTAGCTCACACCTGTAGTCCCAGCACTTTGGGAGGCTGAGGCAGCAGGTCACTTGAGGCCAGGGTTCAAGACCAGCCTGGCCAACATTGCAAAAACCTCTGCTAAAAATGCAAAAAATTAGCTGGGTGTGGTGGTACACACCATTAATCCCACCTACTCAGGAAGCTGAGGCGGGAGAATCGCTTGAACCTGCAGGCCAAGGTTACAGTGAGCTGAGATTGCACCACTGCACTCCAGCATGGGCAACTCTCAAAACAAAAACAAAACAAAAAAAATCTTAAAAATCTAAAAATTGCTTTTAAGACCAAAATTTCAGCCAGGTGTGGTGGCTTACACCTGTAATCCACACTTTGTCGGGGCTGAGGTAGGCCAGTCACTTGAGGCCAGTAGTTGGAGACAAACATGGGCAACATGGTAAAACTCCTCTCTACAAAAAAATACCAAAATTATACAGGTGTGGTGGCAAGTACCTGTGGTCCCAGTTACTTGGGAGACTGAAGTGGAGGACCATCCCAGCCTGGGAGGTTGAGGCTGCAGTGAGCTGTGATTGTGTCACTGCCTTCCAGTCTGGGAACAGACTCAAATGTGAATCTGTCACATAAATCCAGTATGTGTGATCTAAATGGTACTGTTAGTAGGGAAGTAAGGTTTTTTGTTTGTTTGTTTGTTATTTTTTTTGTAGAGATGGGGAGACTTACTATTTTGCCCAGGCTGGTCTCAAGCTCCTGGCCTCAGTTGATCTTCCCACCTTAGCCTCCCAAAGTTCTGGGATTAGCTGGGTGCCGTGGCTCATACCTGTAATTCCAGCACTTTGGGAGACCAAGACGGGCAGAGCACTTGAGGTCAGGAGTTCGAGGCCGGCCTGACCAACATGGTGAAACCTCATCTCTACTAAAAATACAAAAATCACTAAAATACAAATATCACTTAGCTGGGCATGATAGTGCACGCCTGTAGTCCTAGGTACTCAGGAGACTGAAACAGGAGAATTGCTTGAACCCAAGAGGCAGAGGTAGCAGGGAGCTGAGATACTCCTGGGCTCAAGTGATCCTCCAATCTTGGCCTCCCAAACTGGTAGGGTTACAGGCACAAGCCACTATGCCCAGCCTCCTCTACCTTTTTTTATTTTTGAGACAGAATCTTTTTTTTTTTTTAAATTTTATTTTTTGGAGACCGAGTTTCACTCTTGTTACCCAGGCTGGAGTGCAATGGCGCGATCTTGGCTCACCGCAACCTCCGCCTCCTGGGTTCAGGCAATTCTCCTGCCTCAGCCTCCTGAGTAGCTGGGATTACAGGCACGCGCCACCATGCCCAGCTAATTTTTGTATTTTTAGTAGAGACGGGGTTTCACCATGTTGACCAGGATAGTCTCGATCTCTTGACCTCGTGATCCACCTGCCTCGGCCTCCCATAGTGCTGGGATTACAGGCTTGAGCCACCACGCCCGGCTTTTTTTTTTTTTATTAAAGACATGTTTTTACCATGTTGGTCAGGCTGGTCTTGAACTCCTGACCTCAGGTGATCCACCCGCCTTGGCCTCCAAAGTGCTTGGATTACAGGCGTGAGCCACCACGCCCGGCCTTGAGACAGAATCTTACTTCATCACCCAGATTGGAGTGCAGTGGTGCAATCTCGGCTCACTGCAACCTCTGCCTCACGGATTCAAGCAATTCTCATGCCTCAGCCTCCCAAGTAGCTGGGACTACAGACACACACCGCCACACCCGGCTAATTTTTGTGTTTTTAGTAGAAAGAGGGTACCGCCATGGTGCTCAGGCTGGTCTCGAACTCCTCATTCAAGTGATTCGCCCACCTTGGCCTCTCAAAGTGCTGGAATTAAAGACATAAGCCACCACACCCAGCCGTCTAGCTATTTTTAAATGCTAGCTACATTTGATCCCTTTTTTTCCTATTGATTATTATTTGATTTTTGTTGTTTATTTGGTTTTAATTTGTTTTGATATTTTTCCCCCCCGATGATCAGCTTGCTACTCCAGAAAAAGCTTCATAAGTTTGAGTTGGCCTGTTTGGCCAACCTTTGCCCAGAGACTGCTGAGGAGTCTAAGGCTCTAATCCCAAGGTTAGTACCAGTTGTGATAAGTTCTCTGTGTACTGGATAAATTTCTGCAAATATAATTGGTGTGTCTAAAATGTTTATGCATTTTTTTTTTTTTTTTTTTTTTTTTGAGACGGAGTTTCGCTCTTGTTACCCAGGCTGGAGTGCAATGGCGCGATCTCGGCTCACCGCAACCTCCGCCTCCCGGGTTCAGGCAATTCTCCTGCCTCAGCCTCCTGAGTAGCTGGGATTACAGGCACGCACCACCATGCCCAACTATTTTTTTTGTATTTTTAGTAGAGACGGGGTTTCACCATGTTGACCAAGATGGTCTCGATCTCTTGACCTTTGTGATCCAACCGCCTCGGCCTCCCAAAGTGCTGGGATTACAGGCTTGAGCCACCGCGCCCGGCTATGTTTATGCATTTTATATTTATATACATAATTGCCAATATTGAATTAAAGTGCCATTTTAACAGTGAGAGTGATACCAAGTGATAGCAAAAATAAAGACCAGCTGGAACTTCCATATATTGATGGTAGGAGCGTTAATTAGAACAATCATTTTGGAGAGCAATTTGGCTATGTCTAGTAAAAATGAACGTACTCCATGTTCCAAATATCCGTTCCTGGGTACATATCTTTTTTTTTTTTTTTTTTTTTTTTTTTTTTTTTTGAGACAGAGTCTCACTCTGTCACCCAGGCTGGAGTGCAGTGGTGTGATCTCGGCTCACTTCAACCTCTACCTCCTGGGTTCCAGCCATTCTCCTGCCTCAGTCTCCTGAGTAGCTGGGATTATAGGTGCCTGCCACCACATCTGGCTAATTTTTGTATTTTTAGTAGAGATGGGGTTTCGCCATCTTGGCCAAGCTGCCTGGGTACATATCCTAAAGGTAACTCACACAAGTTTACAAGGAGATGTACATTGCTGCATTTTTTTTTTTTTTTTTTTTTAAGTAGACATGGGGTTTTGCCATGTTGGCCAGGCTGATCTCAAACTCTTGGCCTCAGGTGATCTGCCCGTTTCGGCTTCTCAAAGTGCTGGGATTACAGGCATGAGCCATGGCGCCCAGCCTCATTCTGCATTGTTAATGATAGCAGAAATTTGATAATCTCTTGATCAACAAGAAAACTGATAAATGAATCATTGTATAGTCATAACAGTGTTTATTGTATAGCAGTGAAAAAAATGCACTAGAACAACATGGAATGATATCAACATATGCCAGAATGAATTTTGAGGAAAAAAATTGCAGAAGGATAAATACAGTATGATGCCATTTCTTATAAAGTTTGAAACTGCTGCATATTATCTATCCATAAATGTGTAGTAAATATAAATATATATGTGGCAAATAAAATTTCAAATGTATGGCAATGATAAATCGTGGTTATTCCTGGGGAAGAAGGGAAGTATAGGTCTAGAGTAGTATACATAGCCGTCCACTTCTCCTGCTTGTTAAAGAACTCTGGCCTGGCACAGTGGCTCACGCCTGTCATCTTAGCACTTTGGGAGGCTGAGGCGAGCAGATTACCTGAGATCAGGACATTCATACCAGCCTGGCCAACAGGGTGGAACCCTGTCCCTATTAAAATCATAAAAATTAGCCGGGCATGGTGGCAGTTGTCTGTAATCCCAGCTACTCAATAGGCTGAGGTAGGAAAACCACTTGAACCCAGGAGGGGGAGGTTTCACTGAGCCAAGATCATGCCACTGCATTCCAGCCTGGGGGACAAGAATGAAACTCCCTCTCAAAAAAATAAATAAAAATTTAAAAATAAATAAATAAAAGAACTTTTTTTTTTTTTTTTTTTTTTTTGAGACGGAGTTTCACTCTTGTTACCCAGGCTGGAGTGCAATGGCGCGATCTCGGCTCACCGCAACCTCCGCCTCCTGGGCTCAGGCAATTCTCCTGCCTCAGCCTCCTGAGTAGCTGGGATTACAGGCACGCGCCACCATGCCCAGCTGATTTTTTGTATCTTTAGTAGAGACGGGGTTTCACCATGTTGACCAGGATGGTCTCGATCTCTCGACCTCGTGATCCTCCCGCCTCAGCCTCCCAAAGTGCTGGGATTACGGGCTTGAGCCACCGCGCCCGGCTAAAAGAACTCTTAAGAATTGCCTGAACCCAGGAGGCAGAGGTTGCAGTGAGCTGAGATCATGCCGCTGCACTACAGCTTGAGCGACAGAGCAAGACTGCATCTCAAAATAAATAAATAAATAAGCACTCTAAGTGGGGCTAACTGTAAAGGTTTATTTTTTATACCTTTTGTCTTTTATGTGTTGGAAATATTTTGTAATGTTTTTTCAGGAAAAGTGGAAAAGAAACACAGTTGAAAGGTAAAGGTGTTAGAGATACAGGCAGTAGATTATCATGTCTCAAAGAAGAGTGTGAGGAAATTGCCAGTTGCCAAGTCACTCATTCTTTTGGTTTTCTTGTTGTAGCTTGGAGGGGCGGTTTGAAGATGAGGAGCTGCAGCAGATTCTTGACGATATCCAGACGAAGCGCAGCTTTCAGTATTAACCTCCAAACATCACTGCTTCTCAGAGAAACCATGTCCCCAGGCGTAACACCACCTTCCCAGGGTCTGGGGCTGACTTGCACAGAAATTCTACTGCAGAAGACAGTTGAGAATTCCTTTGGAGAAAACAGCCCAGCTTGGCATTGGGTTAGGTTGCTGTTTCAAATAAGTCATAGGCCCAGGTGACCTGTAATCTTGGTGCAGCCTTGTGCAGTGGCTGCTAGTGGCTTTCCTGAGCGTGCCTCTGGGAAGTGTGAGGTGAGTGTGTCGTATAAGCCACACCGTTGACTACCTCATTCATGGTTTTTGGCCTCCACATCATCTTTTATTAATATTTCACTTTTTTTGTTTGTTTTTGTTTTTGTTTTGAGACAGAGTCTTGCTCTGTCACTAGGCACCAGGCTGGAGTGCAGTGGCACAATCTCTGCTCACTGCAACCTCCACCTCCCGGGTTCAAGCAATTCTCCTGCGTCAGCCTCCCAAGTAGCTGGGACTACAGGTGCACGCCACCATGCCCAGCTAATTTTTGTATTTTTAGCAGAGATGGGGTTTCACCATGTTGGCCAGGATGGTCTCAATGTCTTGACCTCGTGATCCGCCCGCCGCCTTGGCCTCCCAAAGGGCTGGGATTACAAGCTTGAGCCACTGTGCCCGGCCAGTATTTCACGTTTTAATTTCAATACGTTTATACTTTTTGAAACTAGACCAGAACATAGTAGACTTTATAGAGAAAGACCTGTTTTACCTAGATGCCAAAGGAATAATTAAACCGCTGTTATTGTTTTGAAATGCTTGTTTTTGTCTTAATGGAGATAGGGTCTTAACTCTTGCCCAGGCTAGAGGAGTGCAGTGGTACAGTCATGGCTCACTGCAGCCTTGACCCTCCTGCCTCAGCCTCCCAAATAGCTGGGGCCACAGGTGTGCACCACCTTAAAGGATGAGAGTGTCCATGACAACGCCTTGGTATTATTGTGCCTAACCTGGGGGACAGGGAAGAAGCGTGCCATTTTTTTTTTTTTTTTTTTTTTTTTCTATTTCCTGCTGTTTATTGACAGCCAATGGCAGCACCTTGCCCAGACCTCCTCTGCCCTCCTGCTAAAGCCCAGCCTGGGCTGCCCACTGAGGAGAGGCCCTGGGGGACAGCTGGGCACTTCCCTCGAAGGGAAACACCGGTTAAGACAGCGGAAGGGGCCCTGGACACCCGGACACCACCTCCGCCGGCTACCTCCACCCGCCCCACACCGTAATCGCTGGTTTGCCGCATTAAAAAAATTTTTTTAAGAAACATCAAAGTTGTGCCCAACACTTGTGGATCAGCAAACACGATAGAGGAGACCAGTCAGTACTTCTTGGATGAGGCAGGGGAGGAAGAGAGAGGAAAAGGGAGGGCGAGAATGACCACACGACACAGCCTTGGACCATGAGCAGAAGCGTCCATGTGAATGCTGGCAGGGTGGACGGGCTGCCTGTGCAGGCCCTGGGGAGGGGGCAGGCACATCCTCAGATGAGCTGCAAGCCCATAGCCTGGCCTGCTCTGCGCCCTGCTTTCATGTGGCCACTACGCTGACATTTCCATGTTCACCACACCCACCTGCGCCACAGGACACAGCCACGCCAAGAGGACATGGCCGTTGCGAGCAAGGCACATCCTCGAGTTGTTCGGGCGCCTAACCTGGGGGACAGGGAAAAAGCGTGCCATGGGAAGTGTTTACACTTGGGGACAGCTGTGCTAAGTATTGTGGAGCCCATAGCCTTGAGTGAGATGGCTACTCTGCCTTTTTTCTTGAAGTGTCTTGCAGAATTTGGATTTGCGGCAAGTGGTCTTGAATGACTCATTTAGTCACCCTCAAATTAAGATTCTACTTCATCTTTCTTGGGCCTGTACCTCAAAGATGACAAAGAAAAGAAGAAACAGTGGTCGTGCCAAAGAGGGCTGCAGCCAGGTGTACACTATTCACTCCAACCTATTTGCTGCATGAACTATGCCCGTTGTGTGCCCAGTGACAAGACTTTTAAGAATATATCATTTGAGGGCCGGGCGCAGTGGCTCAAGCCTGTAATCCCAGCACTTTGGGAGGCCGAGGCGGGTGGATCACGAGGTCGAGAGATCGAGACCAACCTGGTCAACATGGTGAAACCCCGTCTCTACTAAAAATACAAAAAATTAGCTGGGCATGGTGGTGCGTGCCTATAATCCCAGCTACTCAGGAGGCTGAGGCAGGAGAATTACCCTGAACCCAGGAGGCGGAGGTTGCGGTGAGCCGAGATGGCGCCATTGCACTCCAGCCTGGGTAACAAGAGCGAAACTCCGTCTCAAAAAAATATATATATATATATCATTTGAAACATAGAGGCTGCAGCAGTTAGCAATGTTTCTGAAGTGGGCGTCCTTGACGCCTGTGTACTTCGTAGGCTGGATGTGAGGCTACATTACTGTGTGAGTTGTGCCATTCACAGCACGGTAATCAGGAATTGAGCTCATGAAGCCCACAAGGACCAAACACCTCCACCCCAATGTAGACCTGCGGGTGCTGCCCCATGAACCCCACCAAAGCCCATATAAGGAGCGGAGTTCTTAAGGACTGAAGAAAAACGATTCTTTGGAGAAAAATAAAATTGCAATTGTACTTAAAAAAATTTTTACTTCACAGGCCAAGCTTGAAGTTCTGAACACTTTGAGGTCTCCAGTCTAAGCCTCTGGCTTGCTACTTAGCAAATAGGCATTCTATGATGGGCTGATTTGGAAGGAGGGAGTCAGCTACTCTTGAGCCACTGCAGTGAAGTCACTTGATCTGAGTCTGGGGGGAAACACTTTAATAGCTAAACATTCTAGCTTTGATTTTTCTGAAGGAAATACACCTCTTGAAATCTGGGGGTTTTTTTGGGGGCATTTGCTTGACTGTATACAAACTTGTGATCCAAGGAAAAAGGAGAAAGAATAGCATTGGCTTTTACAGTCAGCATAGTTTTGTTTGCTACCAGATAAGGCAAAAATAAAAAATTCTTACTTTTATAAATACAGTTTCCGAAAACATGATTTCTCTCCTTTTTTTTTCTTTTGAGACAGAATCTGGGTCTGTTGCCCAGGCTGGAGTACAATGACACAATCTTGGCTCACTGCAGCCTCCGCCTCCCAGGTTCAAGTAGTTCTCTGCCTCAGCCTCCCAAGTAGCTGAGATTATAGGTGCCCGCCACCACACATGACTGATTTTTTGCATTTATAGTAGAGACAGGATTTCGCCATGTTGACCAGGCTCGTCTCGAACTCCTGACCTCAGGTATCTACCAGCCTCAGCTTCCCAAAGTGCTGGGATTACAGGCATGAGCCACCGTGCCTGGCTGACATGATTTCTAAATAATAAATATTCTTGATCAATGTTTGAAGGAAATAATCTTTTTATCCTTAAGCAACTTCACTTCTTTGAGCCTCATTGGTGTTCGCAATTATGAAATGTGGATAATAATAGTATCTCCCCATGGATATTTTGAGAAGGTTGAATGAAGAGGAAATTATGAAGAGCCTAGAGGTGTCTTGACTTACAGTATGTCCCAGTAAATGTTCACTATTCTTAGCATCTCAGGCAGATGAGCTAGTATAGACAGATAATTAAGTCGGCTTGCCTCATAGAAATCGCTTCAAGAATTTGGTAGCATACCAACTGATAGTATCAGACTTTGAAAATAAATGAAATTGCTTACTCTTTAAATCTGCAGAGTTTTATTTTTTAATGCTTGATGGATTTGCATGTCATTCTTGGGCAGTGGCCATGTTGTCTTCTCCGTATTGTTCCAGTTTGGGTGTACGTGCTGCTGAAGTGAGTACTGCAGAGTTATATCTTGAGGAACTTACATGTGCTGATTGGTACTAATGTAGTAGAATGGAAAGAGACTTGGAAGGCAGCCCAGAGCTACGATCCAGGCATGTGCTAGATGGGAACCGAGGAGCACAGTGCCATCTTTACTGGCGTTTCCATGTATGTGCCAGGGGTTCTGTGAGCTACCTGAGGAGTATGTAATGCTCCAGCACATAGTTAGGCACTAATCAATGGTAGTTATTAAGGTGATTAACAGCAGATTTAAAATGACTCATGCTAAGGAATTACTTGGCTAAAGCAACCTCATGCTGTTATAGATTAAAAGCCTGGTCAGCTATTCTGTTAGACAGTCAAAAATTGTTTTCTACAGGGCTGGACAGCATATTGCTGTTGAAAATGGCTACCAGGAGACCTCGCACAATCTGTGAAACATTGTTAGGCTCATTGTACTATGTTTGCAAAATCAGGAAAGAATTTGGGAACATAATGAAACAACAAAAAGATGGGTTGTCAAACCCTCACTTCACCAGAAAGCTAAATGAATCTTTCTGAAAGTTAGGGTCTCAGTTTGTTCCTACTGCTGTAACAATACCTTAGATACTGGGTAACCTATAAATAATAGGAATTTATTTCTCACAGTTGTGCAGGCTGGCAAATGCAAGATCCAGGTGCTGGTGGGTTCAGTGTCTGGCAAGGGCAGCTCTGGTCTGAGATGGTATGTTTTTTCTGCATCTTCCGTAGGGAATGAGCAGTGGCCTTATGGTAGAAGGATGGCAGGGCCAGGCAGCTTTTTAAAATTTTTATTATTTTGGACACAGGGTCTTGCTCTGTCGTCCATGCATCATTATCAAAGTTCACTGCCTCAACCTCTCAGGGTCAAGTGATCCTCCCACCTCAGCCTCTTGAATAGCTGGAACCACAGGTGCAAGCAACCATGCCTAGCTAATTATGTCTTGTAGAGATGGGGTTTCACCATGTTGCCCAGGCTGGTCTTGAATTCCTCACCTCAAGCAGTCCACCTGTTTCTGCATCCCAAATCCTGAGATTGCAGGCGTGAGTCACTGTGCCAGGCCTGAAGCCTCTTATTTATTTTTTTGAGACAGAGTCTTGCTCTGTTGCCAGGCTGGAGTGCAGTGGCACGATCTCAGCTCACTGCCACCTCCACCTCGGGTTCAAGCAATTCAGCCTCAGCTTCCCAAGTAGCTGGGACTACAGACACCACGCCCAGCTAATTTTTGTATTTTTAGTAGAGATGGAGTTTCACCATGTTGGCGAGGATGGTCTTGATTTCTTGACCTTGTGATTCCCCCCTCACCCCCACCCCCACCCCCACCATGCCACACCTCAGCCTCTCAAAGTGCTGGGGTTACAGGTGTAAGCCACTGCACCTGGCCGTGAAGCCTCTTAATAAGGGCACTGATCCCCTTCATGAGGGATGTTCTCCCATGACTTAATCACCTGCTGAAGACTCCACCTCTTAATACTGTCACATCAGTGAAGAAGGGTTCAGTGTATGAATTGGGTGGGAGGGCGAACATTCGGACCATAGCATCTAGT